TTCTAAAAGTGTAATGGTTAGATTTGTTGTTTCGCAGTTTGAAACAGATAGTTTTATTAAGAAAGTTTCAATATAACAGTTTAATTAATACATTTAATGGGATAGAGAACCTCATGAAATGTTGAAAAATGAAGTTTTCGTAGATTCTAACACTTTATGTAGTCTATATGAATTATCTAATCTAGATTGTGCCAATTTATACACATATACCTAATAAAAAAATAGAAGTCTTAACCAGGTTATATTGCACTACTCTATTAATATCAGAATATCGTCATCTTAAACTGGATCTGTAACTTTAAATTCCAAATAAAAGCAAGTTGATAAAATTTCTAAAAAATTTCACGAAAAGGTTTCAGGCAGACGTCGTTAACGGCGTTAACGTCCTAAAGATTCCTAACTTCTTCTAAAAGAACTCGACAAACCCCAAGAAAGACTTGGAATTGCAAGCCTCCAAAAAAATAGAGAGGAGAGCGCACGATGGTACGGGGATGTTAAGTGACTTTTTCACGTTCGCTTCTGTCTCGATTTCGATGATAGCAAAGGCACGACAAGCCCGGGGAGGGAATTTCTCTATCAGTAGCTGTTCTCTCTCCATTCGTCTCACCTTCCGTTATCGTCTCGGTTGCTCTTCCGTGCTGTGGGGTGGCACGCGACCGCTGATTATACCATTCATCGCGCACCGTGGTCCGAAAGAGGGTTGCAAGCGGACTCGTAAACGTCGTAGCATCGTTCCTCCCCTTGTTTCACCCCCTTTCAACCGTGTGCCCACTTTGGTCCCGGCGACTACTACGGCCCTGAATGCACCCTCATCAATGAAACAATCCGGCTTTCCGGCGGCCCGTCGCCGGCGGCTCCTTAATTTCAGCGTACCACGTCACTCTTTCCAACGAAATCTTCTTCTTCTGCATCTTCGATCAATTATCAAGTATTTCTGTTTGTTTCCACTGTTTCGTTGATTTCGATTCTTTCAGTCGACGTGAATATTTGCGAATATTATGCGAATGTATACTCATATTTTTTTGAATATAAACATACGGGAAATTGAATTTAAGGAGGAGTTTTGTTTCATATATCAATCTTTAAATAATACTGTTGAAACATAAACTATAGATTATTGCAATTTATGCCAGATTATTGAAGTTTAATTTTATTCTGCATTCCTTATCGTTTCATTCTATACTGTTAACCTTTAATTAATATCTGTTGTATTCTTGTCGGAATATAGACTACTGAATTTCACTTAGAATTCAGAATATTACATTACTACGTTATCTGTAATGAAACAAAAACTCCTAGATTATCACAGTTTCAGATAGTCTTGTAATATCAGTTGAAATGTTATCACGTCTATCGTTTATCTGATAAGTAAAGTTATTTGGGAAAGTATCGTCGAAACTTCACCCCATACATAATTTTCACAAATTAGTCCAAAATATTTATCCCAGTCTGAGTAAATTGTTCTTGGCTAGTGCAGAACGTGGCAAAAGAACGTGTGACAGGACAAAGAGCTCGCAAGGCATCATCGTTGCGATTGCTGAAGCGACAACAAAACGGTGGCCCGCGACGTCGAATGGTAAGAGGCACGGTGGGGTGCGCGAACGGCCGGGGGACGAGGGTATGTGTGCGTCGAAAAGCTCGCTGATTACTCCATTGTCGGCCTGGTTGTTTCAGTTAATCGTCACGCCTCGTGACGTTTTGTTGTCCTTTTATCGCATCGTTCTGCCGACCAGTTGCCAGCTGCATCTATCTGGATACACGGAGAGTTGCATCCTGGAATTCGAGGAAACGACGCGAGACGTCGCGAAATTCTTTAATGAGC